TGTTCCAGAGAGTTGGAAACGAAGATTCTTATCTAATTTGGGCATTTCTCCTCAATTTTTCTAACTTAAGGATTTAAAACCACTTTTGAAAATTAGTTCATAGTTTCTCCGTTTTCTGCTGTTTTCTTATATAACTGTTCAGCTTCCCTTAGTGGTTTTCGTAATCATCAGATGTAGTTCCAGCCATATGAGCATGTACCATGAGCACAGAGTACGAGCATTTAGCTGCTTTCGACGCTGGATTGATTCAAAGCGCGTGCAGTACTTTTCGTGTCCGCTTTCTCTTCTACACAGCGCATAACAACATGTTTTTGTTCATCTATCTTTGCTTTTAGAGCAGATTAAGTGTACCTTCTGGTAAACCTATGCCAGCAATTCATAGCATATTAATTGTCAAACTTTTCTTTTGAAAAGCAAGGATTTTGTGACCGTTAACTTCCTTCTTTGCAATATAAGCCTGTGATTCTCGATGTATTGAGCTTTTCTTATTGTTTATCTCAATACAAGATTTTCTCGCTTGAATCACCATTTTCATACTCAAAGCATACCTTTCGACCAAAAATAGAGCACGGTACTGGAAAAGAATTTCAGGATTTCAAAATTAATTGCGTCACCGTCTACCCTTTGGGTTTCATGTTGTTTTCTAGATGCTTCTTTCTATCTAATGTCTTGTACTTAACGCCGGCTGCTTGGACTAAGCCTAGTAGTATTTGGGAACTAAAACAGTCTTCGACTTTTATTCCTATCTAGCTCACTCGTCGGTTTTTATTTGTGACATATCATTTCTTGAGCTAAACGATGTGAAGATTTTCCTGAAAACGCCACTAGTGATCCGAGCAGTTTCCTTACTTTCTCTTATCTATACTGGCAGGATGTAACTCCACGAACGATATAAACATATCGATCCGCCGCAAAAGCTCTTATGTTCTTTTTTTAGAGGATGATAGGAGTTACTTTGCTCTGTTGGAAATTACTGTTTTTGTGAAGGGGCCCTCAAATCACTTTGTTACGCTCTCTGACCTTCTCTAATGAGTGGGGCTGATATTTATAAAGATTTTAATATCTAATGTGGAAGACTGCCATTGGAATCGGACTTCTTTTGATATCCTAAAATGGAACTACAATTGAATCCTTTGC